TATGATGATGATGAGGATGATGATGAGGAGAATGGTGATGATGATGATGACGGTTCTACAAATTAGTATATGCTAAAAATTGATTTATATATACAAACGGATACAGACACATGTTAAACACATGCGGTAAAGAAAAAGATAATGATGATGATGATGATGACGATAATGATTGTGACTATGGCGATGATTTAACATATTTTTAAATGTCCGAAAATTATCTCACCGAACATAGCGTAATGTTTACCGTGGTCTGTCTACCCATATTCTAAATTACAAAAATCCAACCATTGATGATAATATTCAGGAATATTTATACAGTAAAATAACTTAATGAATAATTTAATTTATATAATTTTTAATAGTTTGAATGCAGTAATATAAATGAAATCAATGTTGAAGTTTTTAATTTTTAATATGTCTGTAAGTCTCTGGTTCGTAAATTCATTCGTTTGTGTGTTTGTCTACCTACCTTTATGTCAGTCTGTTTATTTGTTCATTTTGTTCACCTGCTTGTTTGTCGTTCGTGTTTTCGTTTGTTTGTTTGTTTGCCTGTTTGTTTGTTTGTCGTTCTTTTTGATCGTTTGTATATTTGCCAGTTTGTTTGTTTGTTTTATTACAAATTTACACGTATAAGCCAGCAACTGACAAACCTTGAGATGATCACATTTATTAGAGTCCCAACATAATCCTTGATGAGAACTTCAAATCTCATTCTGTAATCAGCCGGTGCCCAACTCTTTCTGACCGTAGAAATCAGAAAACAAAATCAGTCATTGAAAACGAACGGTGGGTGAGCTTGGTTGATAGCATTCTATTTGAGTTGAAACACCTTTAAACCACACAACACAAAGAAAATAAACAAAAAACAATAATTTGAAAAACTTGAAATCTTAAAAATAATTCAATGCAGGCAAGAAATTGGGGATTGTTGATGCCAGACGGTGAACTGGAACAAGAGTAAAACTGTGTTTGTCTGTGCGATTGTGTGTCTGTCTATTAAACTTTTTGTCTGTCTGTTTGTTTGTCTGTCTGTCTATCTGTCTGTATGTTTGTTCACACATTAGTTCTTCCATTTGTTTAATCGTTTGTTCGCTCATATGTGTATGTTTTAGTTTGTTTGTATGGATTCATTTGGATATACGTCTGACTGTTTTTGTAAAATCTTAACAGTTTGTAAAGATATGTAAAGTTTTTACTTTTGTGATTTAATAACAAGTCGTATCTATTTTTCTTCAGCAAACATTGCATTTTATTGCCACATACATTTGATTTTATGCTTGTATGTGTGTCTTGAAAAGTGAGAAGAGGATATGTATTTACGTACGTACGTATGTATGTAGGTATGTATGTATGTATGTATGTATGTATGTATGTATGTATGTATGTATGTATGTATGTATGTATGTATGTATGTATGTATGTATGTATGTATGTATGTATGTATGTATGTATGTATGTATGTATGTATGTATGTATGTATGTATGTATGTATGTATGTATGTATGTATGTGTGTAAGTATGTATGTATGTATGTATGTATGTATGAGTATACATACTTCTGTATGCGATTTCGGAGAGATGATGCTAAGAGAGAGAGAGAGAGAGAGTTATTTTTAACTTGCTTGAATGGAAACTTTTAC